AGCCAATTGGAATAAATATTATGATTCCCTTGAACAACTCTTGTCAGGTTCTCCTAATCAAAATTATGACTCATTCGTAGATAATATTAATAAAGTAGCAGATTTGACGATCCCTTTTTATAAACCGGCCTCACACCAAAAATACCATATCCCCTGGTGGGATGACTCATGTTCAGGAATTATTAAAAATAGAATTAATGCTCTCAAAATGTTTAAATTATCCCCGAATTTACAAAACTATCTATTGGTTAAAAATAATTGTGCTGCAGCTAGAAAATTTTTAATATCAAAAAGGAAAAATAACTTCAGAGATTTCTGTGGTAAATTAAATAGAAACTCCTCTATTAAATTTATTTGGGAAAACATTAATAAAATTTCAGGTATGAAAAGTAATTTGTCTAATTCACTGCCTCCAACTAATGTATCTAAAGAAATTCTGCAGTCCCTCTCCCCCCCTGTTTAAATCCTGATATTGTCATTCCAGATCCAGTGAACCACAAAAGTGGTAAATCGGATTCTGCTGCTGGTCTTGATCAAATCTCATACTCAATGATTAAAAATCTACCCCCAATAGGATCCCAAATATTATTAGAGATTTTTAACAAGTGTCTCAGATCTGGGGTAATTCCTAATCAATGGAAACAAACTCTTATCCTCCCCATTATAAAACCCAATAAAGATAAAACATTAGCATCAAGTTATAGACCTATCGCTTTAAGCTCTTGTATGGGGAAAACTTTAGAATCTTTAATTAAAAATAGATTATTGAAAATAAAAATATACTAAACCCCTTTCAACTAGGATTTAGGAAAGGTCGGGGTTGTACTGAGTGTATTGCCCTGCTGGCATCCCAGATTCAAATTGCCTTCTCTAAAAATGAATACATAGTAGGGGTTTTCCTAGATATCTCCTCTGCTTATGATAATGTAAATATTAATCTCCTCTACTCAATTTTACAGAATGTTGGTATTCCTGAGGATTTAGCTAACCTAACTTATGCGTTTCTATGTAATAGATCCATATTCATAAAGGACAATTCTGGCCAGATACATGGCCCTAATAATACAAACCAAGGGCTTCCCCAGGGATCGCCTCTTAGTCCCATTTTATTTAATCTGTATACTGTTTCTATATTCAACATTCTGCCAAAAAAAAATTAAAATGATTCAATATGCGGACGATTTTGTCATTTTGGTTAGTGGAGGGAACGCAATCCATATTATTCACCAAATAAACATTTTTTTTAATTGAGTTTGAAAACTGGCTAGAATCTCATAATTTCAATCTTTCAACTAACAAATCTAAGGCGATTTTCTTCACTAAAGGTCTTTTTAGACTTGTCCTCCCTAATATCACTTTTAGATTTCAACCTATTCAATGGGTAGACAAATTTAATTACCTAGGTATTTTTTTTTTTTTAAATTTAAAATGGAATGCCCATATTGATCATCTACAAAATAAAATAGGTAAAAGTTTCAATATCATGCGTGCTATATGTGGTACATGGTGGGGATGTGACCCAAAAACACTTAAAATTTTACATGATTCACATCTAGACTATGGTTGCCAAATCTTATATCCATGTCCCAAGGTATTAAAGGTAAAGATGGATAGGCTTCAATTCCAAAGTTTACGTATCATTCTAGGTTGTATGAGATCCACCCCAATTCAAACCTTATTGTCAGAATCAGCAGAGATCCCCTTAAATTATAGAAGGGAATATCTTGCATCAAAATTTATTTTAAAAAATTTTAACACAAATAATAACCCCATTATTAAATCTATTAACTGCTTAAATCTATTATGTGAGGACAATAATAAATATTGGAGGAACCGTGAAAAGCCTATTCTGGTTGAATCATTTAGGAAAATACACTCTCACTATTTTAGTTTATTTACTAGTGATCTGCTCCCCTGTCATGAATATGAACTTGATTTTCAATTGGAAAGCCTAAAAATCCTAAATATAAATAATACAAAAGATAAATTTAATCTTGTTGATTTTTAGAGTATTTTAAATAAATTTTCACAGTACACTAAATTCTTTACTGATGGGTCTATAGACTCATCAGGAGAAGCTGGTTTTAGGAATTTTTTGTCCTGACCTTGATTACATGTTTTCATCTAAACTTCCCTTTCACACACAAATTTGTACGGCAGAAATTGCTGCTATTAATCATGCCATTACAGTCATTTTAAAAGAAAAAATTCAACATTCTATTATTTTTTCTGACTCGAAGAGTGCCCTCCTAAAAATTGCTAAATCTCATTTCTCAAAAGAAACAGAACACTGCTCTTTCCTTACAAGAAGAGGTATTTTATTAGCTGAGGAAAATGACATTAAGATTATATTAGTTTGGATTCCGGGTCATTCGGGTATCCTTGGCAACAATAAAGCTGATCAACTTGCAAATATAGGACGCTCCTTAAATGTCCCAGCAAAAATTTACTTGCATTTTTCTAACTTCCTACCTTTTATTAAAAAACAACTTTGGGCTAACTGGTCAACAGCTTGGCTAACAAAATATAACAACACTCCTTCTTTCTATTTTAAAATAGTTAATCAACTGTCCCCATCTCCATGGTTCAATAGATTCTCATATATTAATAGAAGACACTTGACTACTATTATCCGAATGAGAACAGGACACTGTCTCACCCCCTTTCACCTGTTCCGTATAAGAATTAAAGACAACCCCTATTGTGAGTGTGGCCAAGTTGGCTCGCTAAATCATATTATTCTTCAATGCCCAATTAATACTACCCCAGACTTTGACTTGTATCTAGAATTAACAAAATCCAACCTTCCCACTGCTTTTGATATATGTGTAATCCTTTCCAATATCAATGAAGTATATATTTAAAATAACTTGTTGTGTTTGTATATCTAAATCCTTATCGTTAATGTCATACCTGTCTTTAATCTCACTACACTGTGCGATTTCATTTTCTTCATTCGCCCATGGTCTAAAGAACGCCATATTTATATATATTAAAATAAATTTAAATTAAACAAACCACAAATACAAAACACACCGCACGACAGTACTCCACTGATATCGCAGACTGTCTTCCAGGAATATTTTCGAACACCTGCCTTCCGTAAACCTTCGGCCAATACAGTGCATTTAAGTTTACGATTCGATGTTTTCATTGGTAAACAACTGATGGTTCGTTTAATATTTACCGCTTTGTATAAGGGGAGTAAATATTATTTTTCGTTTCTTAATTTGGCATGAGTACCGTGCGTATATATTAAATATTGATGATTCCCCACATAACTGTGTTCTGCAATTGATAATGGAAGGACTATACATCTTGATTGAACACCTTTATAGCCAGATTTCCTGATTTTATATATTTTTTGTGAAATTAATTTATGGTCATCAGAAATATATTGTACATCACGTGTAAAAGGGATTTTTCAAATCCATGACACTCGAGAAAACGTCTTCTTTCTTCTTTTTCCTTGCCTTGATCGCTTAATGTTTTAATACATAGCAATGAAATGGTTTAAAATATCTAATGAATTTCTCAACGTTACATTTTAGAATAAGATTGATGGTATTTAGTCTTCATGTACAAAGTGAGCGATCACGGTCACTCCGAGTTCAAATTTCAAATAAAAAATGTATCGAAAAAGGATTTTTACTCCGTATTTTGTTTTTTGTCTCTTAGGTTAAAAATACTCATCCAATCCTCGTATATCAATCATATTTTTCTAAATGTTACCTATAGATATTTACCTACAAACTACGTGAAAGCTTGCGACGATAATTATTTTCTTTACCCCTCATAACCAAAACATCGAACAACCTGTTGAAAGTGTTGATTGTTTAGTCGTGTGTATATTTTAACCAATAAAAATAGTGCATTATAAAACAAATTTAAAAAAAAAGAGGTACATGGAAAACAAACATATTTTTTGTCCAGTTACACGCACGGCGAAATTATTAATCATCTTTTCTCGTTAGGGTGATAACCATATGCCACATGTTGACATTTCAACCCTTTTTTAAAAACGATGTTAACATTAAATCACCATGTATTTGTGTGTTTTAAAAAGGCAGCTTTTCGTTATTTATGATAAAAAATTGCATACCATTTGTTGGTTGTAATTTATATTAAACAGTACAATTACTGTAGAATTTGGTTAATTACAGAGAGTGGCGGCTGGTTCATAAATGCTGTAGCTGCAGAACTGCCAAAAAATTATTTTAGACATTCTAAAATATAAGTAATAGTATATTGTTTCACGAGTGACGAAAATAACATTTTTTGAAGCGATAGAACAATTTACCAACCGAGGCGAAGCCGAGGTTGGTAAATTGTTCTCTCGCTTCAAAAAATGATTTTCGACGAGTAAAACACTATACTTTTTCTACGAACTCTATTATGTCATGTAGGTACCTACTAAAATGAAAAAAAAAAACAAACGTTAGCAAATGCTTTATTTTGTGTTAGGAATAACAAAAAATTAACCAACAATTAAATATTTCAGAAATATTATTTATTATTTAAATATTGATTTATTGTTATAAGTATTTGAACAATTGTTCAAAATTATGGGGGTATCACACTCAAGCTTTTTATTTATTGAGGTAGATGCCGACATATTTGTTCTACTGTTAAATGTCATTTCTGATGATGATGCGCCATAATCGGATGAACTAGTAGTTTCCTTATTTTGTACAGATTGTAAAATTTTGGTTTGTATTTGGTTTTTACTGTTCGTGGATTCATCAACATATCCTTCCGCAACACTACTAGATTTCCAACCACCGTGCTTTTTCAGTGGCGCACCCAGGATTTTTGTTTGGGGGGGTTTCATGATGATGAAGGCTGGACACAGAAAATCAACAAAAAAGCAGATTTCACAAGTTTTTTGTTATTTTTATTAACGAAAACGAAAGGAACATACTACATACATTTATTTGGATTGGGAAAATAAAATTTGAAGGAAAAAACATTCAAGCTATATTGGCAACAAAAAAGCCCTATTAAGCCAAGCTGAGTTTTAATTTTCTAGGCTTCTCGGCGAACCTATTTAAAATATTTTCTACAGACGGAGTCATATTTCTATAAATATGCAAAAGAGTCAGGCCATTTAACCGGTTTTCCGAGGTACTGTTTCTCAAATAACTTTTGAGTCGTCGCAGAGTTGAAAAACTACGTTCACCTTCAGCAGTAGAGACAGGCAGTATAGCTAATACATGGAGTAATGTCCTGATATTTGTAAAGGTGTCAGTAACGTGTTGTAATGCGCTCAAGGCATCTCTGGGCCGCTTTTCATTTGGCAGTCTAGCAATTGATCTGTACCAAAGTCTAAGTTCGACAACTAGCTCATCTTTGGTTCCTGTCAGGTCATGTTTATAAAATAATACCAACGATTGGAATTCAGTTATCGCTTCGTCGGTGAGAATGGACGGATCTTTGGGAAACAGGCTTTGAAATCCGGCCAATATTTGCTTATGTTTTGAAAATCTTTCTTTTATGTTACTTATAAAAGAGTCCAAAAATGGAATATATATTGCAATCCGGTAATAATCTTCGGTACTTTCCGTATCAACATTACACCTTTTTGTTTGATATAGGCTAGTTCGCGGTTTATTTATAGGAAACTCAAACTTTTCGCCCAATTTTTTCACTTTTAAAAATAGTTTTTTGAATTCCAAACTTGCATTTTCCCGCAAGCTTTGAAGTTCAGCAATTGTATCTTCCGCCAAATTTGCAGCCTGCTTTAAATCAATATTTCGTTGCTGGAACGCTTTGCATAAAATACTGCTGAAGCTAAATACCTGACTTACAACTTCTAAAGAAATAACAAATTCGGGTTTTTTTATGGATGCTCCTAACTGATTTGCTGCATTGGCTGAATCTTTATCTGTCCATTCTGAAATTTTCTCCAGTGCTAATACAACAGGATCATAGAGCTCTAAAAAGACAGCAACAGAGTTATACCTTTCTGTCCACCTAGTAGCGCATAATTTAATTAATTTTTCATGGCCAGAAATTACATCCAATTGTGCTAAACACTGTTTAATAATGACTTGTCGTTTCGGGGTGTGAAAAAAGCCATACAATTTTCCTATAGTACCTAAGCAGTTTCTAATTAAAGGCAAGTCGCAGGAATTTGTAACAGCTAGGTTCAAAGAATGTGCCGCACAGTGCACATAAAGAGCCTTTGGATATACAGCTTGAATGTGGGCCTGAACACCATTAAATTTTCCGCTCATAGCTGCTGCACCGTCATACCCTTGACCACGCAATTTATTTAGGTCTATTCCCATGTCTTTAAGGTTTTTTATAATTGCCATTGAAATTCCCTCTCCTGTCACATTATCAAGTGGTACAAACTGCAAAAAAAGCTCCTCTATAATGGAAGATGTTGAATCAATACAGCGAATACACAGGGTCATTTGTTCCATGCAGGAAATATCTTCCTAGTATTTGTCAACGTTGTATTTACAAAATTAGCTATATCGTAGGAATCCCAGCATTCTTTACTTGTCATTTGATTATGTGCTTGCTCAGTCTGTAGCTCATTTTCAGGGATATCGTTTCCAGTCGCTAAAATTAAAATTAAAATAAGTATACTAAACGTGAAAGCGGAAAAATACATTTGTTAGATCACGAATCACGCGTAATATCAAATTAACTTTTTTTAACAAATATTTTATTTAAATTAAAAGACCGATCATTGAGATAATTTTCAATTTTTATTTATTACTTAAAGAAAAAATAAAATATAAAATTGATAAAATAAAAGTTTCGCTAAAAAATTAATAATTGCAAACTTAAAGTAAAGTGGCAACAACGCACCATCCAGTAAACTCTCATATTTTATTAATTTAAGGTTAGGTCATAGTTCTCCCCATTTTCTCCTAAACTTAAAATAATTATAATCAAATAAACACTGGATGCTTACCTTTAAAAGCTTCAATATGTTCTTTTTGGGTTCTTCTGTAACTTGCAAAGAACTTTTAGGCTTTTTTGAAAAAAAGTCCAATATATCTAACTGCCGCTTTGACATTTTTATTATTGTAGCTTTTATACTCAACTATATTAAGTAGGTAAAGAATAAAACTAACACACACACTTGCTATTTGTTTTTTAATTTATGACGCACGAGTGACAAAAAGATCTCTTCCAAGTTTTGAGTTTTTTTACGACGATAACACAGAGTACATAACGATAGCAACTTGCTCACAATCATCACACGACTACTTGGAGTCAGTGTTGCCAGATGAACCAAAAAATATATGATCCGACACTCAAAAAAATGGTATTTTACTGACAAAAAATTGTATATTGAATATTAATCTTGATAACAATAAATAATGAAGTTTACACAATTAATAAACAAAGAAAAAAATCAAAAGTAATATAATTTTTTATTTTAAACTATGATTTAAATTTAAATAACAAGGTATTATTAAGAGCGGAAGAACATACAGTATAATATTCATATAAAATTCATTATATCAGTGCTAAATTTCGGGGGGGTTCTAACCCCCAAAACCCCCCCTTGGGTGCGCCACTGTGCTTTTTTAACAGAAGCGTCCTCCTGCATCCACTAATAGCGTTGCGGATGTTCTGCGGAAACAGTGCCCAGTGTAATCTTGAGGATTCGGAAGCGTTAAAAACTGAGCAATTTCATTAGGAAATTTACTGTCTGCTACACTTTCCATTCTGATAGTTAATAAAGAATCTTGAATTAATTTGATCCATGTTTGCGGGACGTAGGCTCATATATTTTTTAGAAATATCATAAAAGGGTCCAGAAATATGAAAAGAACGCGGAACTTTTGTCTTTGTATTACGGATTTTAACAAACAGAATACTTCCAGTATCCTACCTACAAATATTAGTAGTTATGTATTAAGTATTTGTTAAAATAAAAATAATAATTCCGTTACCTTTGTTATTAAATATTTATAGTCAGGTGCATTCTTTAGGAAAGTCTTTATGTCTTCAGGCGAAAAAATTTTGGATTTTTGGCTTTTAAAACCATAAGATTTTCTTTTCAAAAGCGAACGTAACTTTGGATATTTACTAATATCGACATCATTTTTAACAGAGAGTGTAGTTCTTAGCATCGAATAAATGGACCATAACGTCGACGGTTTTAAATTTTAACATATTTCTCCAAAGTATGCTAGTAGTACAGTTTCCGAAAATGATTTCACTTTATTTTTTTTCTCTCCAGTCCAAAAATTTGATATAAATTTCTTCATTACTCTTTTTTGATTTGGCCGGTAATAAATCTGAAGAGGTTTCTTCAGCTTTAAAAATAATTTCTGGGGGAGTAAAATCGCTTTCTGACTCAGACATCATGAAAATGTGTTAAATTTAGGACGAACTGAAACTGACAGTTCTCAAAAGTGATAAAACTTCAAATAAACAAATGAAAACCAGGAAACTAGATGTAGATTGGTTTAATTTGCTTTATTTTTATACATTTTTATTTTATCTTTAATTCATTAAAGTTTAGGTAAAAACGCATATAGAATTTAATGAGCATCTTTTTATTTCATTATTAATACTTATAAGCTGCCAAAATATTATACGAGGCGACTGATATATGAAAATATGTAACAACTTACTTTCGTCACTAGAGACGAATGTAAACGTTATGGGATTTTTTCTCACTAGTGACGGAAATCAAGTTTTCGCTGAAAGTATCCTGTGGCGAAAGATGTCTTTTTGTAAGAGTTCGTAGAAAAAATAGATTTTATCCATAATCTCATTAACTTTAATTATTAAATAGTAAATAGTGTGTATTCTAGTAGTCTTGATAGACATATGCCTGTCAAAAAGATTAATTAACAAGTTTGCAAATAGCGAAACTGTCTTGTCAATCGTATTTGGACCAAAAATAAAAAAAAGTTTAGTGAACAATTCTACTTTAAATTATTTTATTATTGTTGATTTGTAGATAGAATACATCTTATGTCGCAACCCCTTATACAGGGTGTCCCAATAGAGTGTGGAAGTTCGATATATCCTATATTATAGAAAATATCAAACCATGTTATTTACAAAAGTTATAGATAATATTAATCTGCACATTTCAAAATTATTTTCGATTATACAGAGTGATCCATAACTTCAAAATTGATGGACCACCCTGTATTTAATTGTAAATTTGAATTCCCCTGACTTTGCCCTTCAAGAAAATACCAACATGTATGAGGTTATACTGGGTATTTTGGAAGTTTAAACCAATTTTATATGAAAATCGTACTAGGTTCTGTATATTTCAAAAGAAACAATCGAACATCAAAATTTTTTGATGAATCATTTTTAATGATAGTCTACTTTTATAAGAATATACTAATTTTTTCCTAGCACAACAGACGTGTACAGGGTGAGTCAAAACTCAGTTACATGATTTTCTCAATTTTCTTAAATATAACACTCTGTATTTCATATCACTACTATAAAGTACTCTAATTATACGTTCGTTTGAGTTAAATATTGCCTATCCCTAAACACAACAATTTAGCGAGATTCTTAGATGAAATGTTAAAAAGGGTTAATTATAACTAAATTCACAATGTAATTTGATTTAAACTCCTGTTAAAATATACTGTTTAATCAGTTTATATTTTTAAGGAACTACTACAAGTTATTGTCAACTGAATTTACTTTCTTTACTTTTAAGGTTAGGTTCACCCTGTATTTCATGTCTCTACTAAAAGTACTTTAAAAATATAAACTGATTAACTAGTAACTAGTATGTAATATTTAACAGGAGTGTAAATCAAATTACATTGTGAATTTAGTTATAATTAACCCTTTTTAAACATTTCATCTAAGAATCTCGCTAAACTGTTGTGTTTAGGGATAGGCAATATTTAGCTCAAACGAACGTATAATTAGAGTACTTTTTAGTAATGATATGAAATACAGAGTATTACATTTAAGAAAATTGAGAAAATTGAGAAAATCATATAACTTAGTTTTGACTCACCCTGTACACGTCTGTTGTGCTAGGAAAAAATTAGTATATTCTTATAAAAGTAGACTAACATTAAAAATGCTTCATCAAAAAATTTTGATGTTCGATTGTTTTTTTTTTTTTAATATACAGAGGGTTGAACCATTCATTTCATTTAAAATTTTATTCATTTTTTAAAAAATATATGTACAATATGTAAACATAAAACGTCACAAAAAACACAGACTGTACACAGTACAGCTGTGGCCCGAATGGTATCCATTGAGGCCTAAGGCGGTTTCTCCGCCTGTAATATGTTCCATATTTATCTGTTTTGGTTATGCTAATTATAGCCGCCCTCACTCCTTATCCTATGAGTATTATTGAGGGATTATGGTGGTTTTGGATCGGGAATTGTAAGTTATAGGAGGTTTGTCGTGTGTTAGTTTAGTATTGTCCCCTGGAAAAGCTAGGAAAAACAGAGTTGTCATTTGTGTTGTGTGTTCTTGTCCAAGTCTACGGTTTTTTGTCTTAATTCACAGAGAGGGTGAGCTATAAACCACCCGGAACTGCCACCGTCGAGTAACGAAAGTCGCTCTCTCGGCCGCAAGTTCAAGTTTAAAATCTCTTTATTAAATAAAATATTTACATTTCATCGGTAAGATAATACACATGTAAAATACAATTCAAGCTCGCAGTGCTGCGAGTTGAGTAATCCTCCCATGCTGGTTAGTGTCAGACGTGTTAACGTCCTAACCCGTAATACCTGTTCCGATTTATAAATTATGAAAGGGATGTACCATCTCCTTATCCGAAGATATAATATGGCAATATTGGTGAGTTTTTAGTCGGTAATTGAAGTGAAGTGTGAGTTTTTGTATGAATTTAATTATGTAGAGTGATCCCTGGGAAAAACTTCGAAAAACCAGGGTTGTCCTTGTGTGAATGTGTGTCATGTTTGGTAGTCTATGTGGGGATGTGGCTATTTTACTAGATTACACGGTGAAATCCATCGCCAGACCGGAGTTCGAGGAGGCCCCGATCTCCGTGCTGTCGAGTGACGTCATCGTGCAGTCTTCCGTCGGACTAGTTTTGTAGAGTGCCAGTCCTTTGTAAAATAGCCGTTAGTAACTCATCGCAGAGAGGAGGATGCTGCTGAGTTTGTCTGTGTTAATGGTTTTGTGTGTATATGTCTAGTTTTTCGTGTAACCATCCATGCCTTCTGTCCCCGGCGTTTGCGATGTTATGTGCGAGTATGTCTTCCTTCACAAGGGGTGGGAGACTGTTGTTGTAAAATCTATTTGAGGAATTTATGATATATTCTGATATTGTAGGCATGGATGCTTCGATGTGCATGTCCGTAATTCTAGCGTAGCGGTCATACCCCAACGCCAGCCGAAGACACTTATTTTGTACTATTTGAAGTCTTTGCATGTGAATGTTTGATAGTGAGCAAAAGACTGGAGATCCGTATGTCAGTGTAGGTCTGATGATTTGTCTGTAAAGTAGTAGTTTGTTGTCACGGGTAACTCCACTACGTCTATGAAGCATGGGGTAAAGCATGCGTATCATGGCCGTAGCTTTGTTAACTCGGTCGTCGATGTGTCTTTTGAACGTTAACCCCCTGTCTAAGATAATACCGATATATTTAAAGTGATTCGCTGTTTGAATGGTGTTATTTTGAATTTTAAGGGGTGTAATGACTCTGTTTTACTGCATTTTAGTGAGCAGGACTGACTCTGTTTTGCTTGAGTTGATTTTTATTTTATTTTGGTCCAGAAAGGGGACTAACGTTCTGTTTGTGTGAATCTCCAGTCTTCGCATGGCAATTTCTGCAGATGCCGATGATTTGAAAACGCAAGTGTCATCGGCGTACAGTGCCGTCTGTAAGCCATTATTACCCATTGGTATATCATGGGTCATAATGGTGTACAGGTGGGGCGAAAGTACTGAACCTTGGGGTACCCCCGCTTTTGCTATGTATGGTCCTGTGAGTGTGTCGTTAATTTTAATGTGGAAATTTCTATTGTATAAGTAACTTTGAATTGTTTTTACAATGAATACGGGGTAGTCATTCATAAACCTTTTGTAGATAAGACCGTCAGTCCAAACCGAGTCAAAGGCCTTGGCAGCATCTAAAGCCACCAGAACTGTCTGTTGCTTGTTGTTGAAAGCTTTCTTAACATGATGAGCAATTCTGATGACTTGAGCTACTGTACCGTGGCCTGCCCTGAACCCGTATTGTTCTGACGGTATAATCGGGTGGTCAGTTTCGTGTGTATGTGCGGTCTGTCAGTTTGGCTAAGCCGTTTAGCAGTGAGATGGGGCGATAGCTACCCGCGTTATTTTGAGGTTTGCCACGTTTTAGTATTGGGATTATATTTGCTGATTTAAAGGCTTCAGGGTAGAACTGTAGTTTCAAAAAAGCATTAATTATGTAGTTCGTTTTGACATAGGCTTTTTTAGAAAAATTTTTTATTAGGTTATTGCTTATGCAATCAGGCCCAGGGGCTTTTTTGTTTTGTAGTTTCTTGACCACATCCCTGATTTCTTGGGGTGTGGTTAAGGAACTCGAAGGTACTGGGGCCCGCTCCATGTTATGAATGTCAACAACTGTGTTTTCAATGCTTTGTTGTGATGGATTGTTTGGAATGTTGTTTTCAAAAATTTTCTGGAATAGATCGCCGAAAGCTTCGCCTTTTTGTTCGTCAGTGGAGCACACTTTGTCATTGTATTTCAGTGTGGGAAGCCGAGAGTAAGGTTTAGTAAATCTCCTCGCAACTTTCCACACTGAATTGTCCTGAGGGTTAACCGCTTCCAGGGTTTTTCTCCATTTTAGATTACGGTGTTCGCTAATGAGTTTATTGATGTATTTACCTATGTCTTGGAGGCTGACCCTGTCAGCGGCTTGTCTGTGCTGTTGCCAGCGTTTACGTATGTTGTTTTTGTTTTTTATGAGGTCTAGAATGTCTTGGGGGAGGTCGTCGTAGAATTGTCCGTGTGTTTTGGTTGGAATTGAGGCATCTCTGGCCGTGATAATTGCATTTTTAAGATTATGTATTTCGTTTACTAACGTTTGACTGTCTGTGATGTCGTTGTTGATGATAATTGTGTTGTCTAGTATTTGTCTGTACCGTCTCCAGTTTGCGTTTTTATAATCTAGGTATGTGCCTTGATGTCTGATGATTGTCTTGTTCGTTTTGATTTCGAGATAGACGGGGTCGTGGTCTGAAGTTAATGTCGTGATTGTTCTAATGTTGTGAATGTGTGGTAGATTTTTGGCTAGTGCTATGTCGAGTGTGCTCTGTGTCATGCCACTGTAAGGGTAAAACGTTGGTTCGTCCGTGTAGTGTATGATGTAGTCATTAGCTTCGGCGAATCTATCCAGTGTTCTCCCGGAGGGGTTTGGTTTTATGCAGTTGGAGTCCCAATGCGGGTGTTTCGCATTGAGATCTCCAAAAATGAGGACCCTACTACCTATAGACGTGGCGGAGTGTAGTTCAAGGGATGTGAAATTGTTAGTGGGGTGATTGTAGACTCCAACCAAGAATAAATTATGAATTTTTATAATGATGTGCTCGAAGGTGACGTCTATACTGGGCTGTTGTTCGAATTTTAGCGAGTTTTTAATGATCAGTGCTATCCCCCCACCTTTCTGGGCGGGGCTGTCTTGTTTGTCTTGTCGAATCACGTAGTAGTTATTGATTTTGAAGTTGTGGGCGGGTTTAAAGTGTGTCTCTGAAATTAGTGTAATGTCAAATTTGTGTTTATGAATGAAACTGCTTACCAAGGGTGTTTTGTTAAGCATCCCGTTCGCATTGAAAAAACATATTCGGAGCGTGTCGAGTTTTCCGCCGTATAGTTCAGTTTTTAAAATTGTAATTGTCTAGTTCAGCAACGAAGTTATAATAAGTAGTTAAGAATTCCGCGTTTGTCTGACAGTCTTTTAGTCGGTGATTTAATTGTCTAACGGCACGGATTAACTCGCCAATATTTACCAGCTTACCTAGTTGTTGGAATTCGGTATTAAGAGTTAGGATGTCAGACATCTGAGATGGGCGTTGAGATGTTTGTTGGTTTGCTTGTGAACGATTTTCATTAGGTGGAGGGTGTGAGACTGCTTCGTTGGTTGCAGTGTTCACATTTCGGTTAGGGAGTGCTGGAAAATCTTCTCTCGAGGTCCTGGATCGCCGGCGGTCCCAAACGTTTGCAGTGGGGGCCGGTGCAGGGATGTATTTGGGAGCTGGAGCTTTGTTTCTGCGCTCTTCGAGTCTATCAAGTCGTTCAGTGTAGTACTTGCATTTACTGTAATTGGCGGGATGCTCTCCCCCGCAGTTAGCGCATGTGGCTGCTGTGTCTCGACTTTTGGTGCATGTTTTGGTTGGGTGATCTCCAGCGCATTTGAGACATCTGGGCGGTCTCCCGCAGTTGGTTGTGGCGTGTCCCCATAATTGGCAATTATGACACTGGATTATCTGTTTGTTTGATTTTCTGAGTTCCCAGATGACTCTAGTATAGAGAACTCTTCGAACATTCTTGTTAAGATAATCCAGTGTCAAGGAGGGATCGGTGACGACTAGAAACAGAGGTCGATTTTTTGTGTTCATACGAAAAATGTTTCTGACTTTAATTTCGTATTAGGTTTCTATGTCGTCTTCTATGTCCTGTATTTTGGAGCCGTCAGCGAGCCCTCTCAGTACAAATGCGTGGGATTTGTCTTCGGAGTTCGTGTATGTGTGGTGGGCGATGTTTTCGTCCCTGACGCTTTGAAGAACTTTCTGGTGGTCTTCTTTGTCATCCACGAACAGGATAGTAGAATTGTTCGTATGCTTGACACTGAAGCCACCTTTGATTTTGGCCTTCAGGTCAGTTATTAAGGAGGTCTGGTTTACAGTTTTGCCGTCGACTACAATAGGGGGCATTGACCCTTGTTTTTTGTTGCCTGTGTTGGTAAGTTTGGCTTTTGCTGAGGTGGATGCTGGAATTGTGGGATTCGTGGCAGGAATTTCTTTGCCTGGACTTTTGTTCTTCTGAATGGTTTCTTTAGTGGAGTTTCTGCGCCTTCTTTTCACAATTCTATCAATCTCATCCTCGATATCAGATTCAGAGTCATCAGTGAGTACGGTGTACTTGTTCCTGGTGAGTGTGAGCGTTTGCTTTGATTTTTATCTTATGAGTTTTGTAAAATTGGAACTGAATTTCCTTGGCGTCTCAAAGGGGAGTTCGGTTGTTTGAGTGTTGTTCTCCGAGTTTACCGATTCTGTAGGTTTGTCTTTGCCTGGGCTGGGGAATGTGCTGTTCGGAGATGTGGGAGTTCTTACTTGTCGGTGATACTCGAGATAGTAAGCTCCTCTGTCGTCTTCTGAGGTGTTTTCCCCGCTGTTGAAGCGATGTATGGAGTCTTGTAGGGATTTTGGTATGTCAGAAGCATTGACTTGTATCTTAACCTCATTATTGTCCACAATGTTAATTAAGTTACTGGCTGAGGGGTTGATTGGGCCTGTGTGTGTATGTTTTGTACTATTGAGTGCAGACTTGCCGAGATCAGAGCTACTCAGTTCACCCTTTCTTCGGTTTGTCTTTACTCGTTCTACATTGACATTTTCCAAACTTTTTGCTTTAAAAGTTGGTTGAGGTTGTTTTGGCATGGCTCCTTTGTTGCTATGGGCAGGTGCGTGGTGGTGTAAATCGGTTTCTAACCCAAAATTTAGGGGTCTGGCTGTAATCCCTGCCGGCATTTCAACCCTTTTAATGGTTACCCTCGTCGGGTGATTAGATTGGGTTACATAGGCGGACTGAAAGTTCTGCATGTGTACTGTGGTATCAGATGTGGGGTGCGGTGGGATATTGTCTGAGGGAGTCATGTTAGGGGTGGAGTGTCCTGAGGGATTTGGGTGGGAGGGTCTTGCAGGTGGGATGTCCTCTCCTTCCGGGGTATTATCATCCGCGTCCATAAATTCCTCAGATTTGTCGTCACTGGCACTGCGACTAAAATTAGGGGTGTCGTTTACGGGAATTTCTGTGGTTTCCTTTGCATTTAATGAATTAATCAGTGCATTCAGTTGACTAACATGTGAAGACTCCTGACTTTCTTTTAAGTTGGGGGTTGGGTTGACCGGCCTTTTTGCATCATGCAAGTCGTCTAGGGGGGTGCTAGGTCCACTGGGTGTGGTATTATCTGGGGTGTTTTGCTCTGTGCTCACAATCGTGGTGTCCATGCTCTCTTCTGAGCTTGTGGAATCGTTTAGATCCCCGTATACTTCCTCTAGAAGTCTTTGAGGGTCGTTTAGAGGTCGAACCGGGGAATTTTTAAACAGGGGGTCCCCCTGTACTGGGCTGCTGATCCCTTGATTAGTATTAGCTGTTGTTAGGCCCAGAATAGTGGTTTTACTCACAGTTAATGGTCCTCTCCTTTTGGATTTTGCCTTTATTGTGTCGGAATTATGGATTTTGGAGATGCTTTTTAGAGTCTCTGTGTGCTTCCATCTATTTCTTTGTCGCTGCGAATAAATAGTTGGGTATTGTTTGATGTTATTGTCGGAGTTTGCCCCGGAGGGCTCTACCATGGAGCTGTGGCTCCTTCTATGTGGTTATAGTTTATACTTCCTGGCTTAACTCGAACGATAGTTGAAATAAAATTGTAGCGGTTTTAGGTTAATACCCTGGTGTCACAATTCGGAACTAGGAACGGAACACAATCGACGACGAACTGCCTTTGATGAGCTCAAAGGCTAAACTGTCAGTCGATAGTTCAGTCCTCCGTCGGACTAGAATTCGTAAATATCCAGTCCGTGTGAATTATTGTTTAGTATTGTAGGATTTGTCATGGATCATGTTACTGTCGTCGGTAGATGTTTAGGTTTTTGTGTAGGCAGCCGTGTTTTCTACGCACGCCGTCCCCCTGGTGAATATTCATGATGCTATCCCTCAATTCATCAGGGAGTCATCGCGCGTAGAAGTTTTCGGCCGTCTGGATGACGAAGTCTTTTATGTATGGGATATTTGTCGTTGTATGTATGTCGCGAATTCTAGCATAACGGTCGTAGCCAAGAGCTAGCCTTAGACATCTGTTTTGTGCCCTTTGTACTATTGCGAAATGTGAATTTGCCATTGAACCGAATACTGGACAACCATATGTCAGTATAGGCCTAAATATAGTTTTAAATAGTAGCAGTTTGTTTGACAATGTTAGCCGACTCCGTCTATTCATTAGGAGGTACAATGACCTCAGAATACCGGAATTTTTGGCAACTCTGTCTTTTATGTGGGCATTAAACAGTAGTGTCTTATCCAGTCGAAAACCGAGATATTTTAACTCTTGTTTGACTTCTATTGGTCGATTTTGAATCACGAGGGGCGTGTCAATTGCTTGAGTCCGCCTCTTTGTTATAACCATCGATTCGGTTTTATTTGGGTTAATTTTCATTTTATTTTTGGATAAATAAGTCACTAAAGTTCCGTTGATATGGTCATCCAGCTTTCAGTTCGCTGTTTCGGCTGATTTATGGCTTGTGTATACACAGATGTCGTCAGCGTACAACGCCGTTTGTACACCATTATGTCATATTGGTAGGTCACAGGTCATAATAGTGTACAAATGCGGCGATAGTACTGAGCCCTGTGGTACTCCCGCCATTGCTATGAAAGGTCCTGTAATTGTCGTGTTTATTTTTAAGTAGAATTTTCTGTCCGTTAAGTAGGATAAAATTATTTTAGCAATGTGCCCAGGAAAGTCATTCAAAAGCATTTTGTAGATTAACCCTTGGGTCCATACGGTGTCAAAGGCTTTTTCTGAATCAAGCGCCACCAGCACAGTTTGCAGGTCCCGATTGAATGCCTCTTTGGCATGTTGTGCAATCCTCAGAACCTGGGCCACTGTGCTGTGCCCCTCTCTGAAGCCGTACTGTTCCCTCGGGATAATCTGTATACGTTGTTCTATTGTTTTTAAGCGTCGTAAAATTATTGTGTCCGTTATTTTTGAAAGTGTGTTAAGTAGTGATATGGGGCGATAGCTATCAATATTGTTTCCCGGTTTTCCCTGTTTGAGAATAGGGATTATATTTGCCACTTTCAGACCACATTAAAAATGATTCATCAAAAAATGTTGATGTTCGATTGTTTTTTTTTAAATATACAGAGGGTTGAACCAGGTCTGTGAACTTGGCACCACAACATTGTAAAAAAGGGACAGAAATGTGTGAGACGTTTGTCCATCGTTTGCCCATTATTGCCCATGAACTAATTTTTTTTACCCACCCTCTGTTTTCACAATATATCGAAAATAATTTTCGCGGGACAACTTCCAGACAAAAGTTAAAATTTTCACGGCATTATAGCATTTCGTTTGCCCATAAATTAGTTTTTTTTAGAAAAAAAAATAAAAAAAAATAAAAAAAAAATAAAAAAAAATAAAAAAAAATAAAAAAAAAACAAAAAGAATATTCAAAAAATACAATATGATAACTGAATTAGATAATCATTCGTTAGCCCATGTTTGCCCATTTTTTGTTTCACAAATTTCCATAACGATTTTCAAAAAAAAATTAATTAAAAAAGGGATTTGATGACAATTCCACTATCCGAGATTTATACGAGTTTATTTGTTATTAAAAAATGGGCAAACATCGAAATAATGCCAACATATTTGTAAATTACTAAAAAATGTTTTATGAGGATTGCCCATTTTTTTAAAAAATCCTCGTATAAAGGGGGCTTAAACTCCGATAATAGTGCATTTATATGTATTTATTAGTGATATAAAAATGGGCAAACATTAAAATAATTCCAAAAAAGTGTAAGTTGCTAAGAAATGTATTCTGAGGATTGCCCATTTTTTAAAAAACTCCTCGTCCAATAGGGGGTTTTAATTTCCGATAGTTGTAACGAAGTTACTTTTTTTTTAATTTATTTAAGAAATGTAGGATCCGTCGGAAAACCGAATTCAACATTTTATTTATTTATCATCATTTACCGTTTGGTTTTAATAAATTAATTTTATTTGAAAATACATAAAATTTATCCGAAAACCGAATTATTATTTTTATTTTATTTTTCGTATTCATCATTTAGCTTTAACGTTAAAAATTCGAGTTTTCAAACGTTTACTATAGGTTTGTTCCAACTTGATACATAACCATTCCGTAACGGTACAGCTCATGCGTATTACACTCCAAGCGTTTCAACTTAATTTGTACGATGTGCGGGTTGATACAGAATTCGTTCCAACTAAAAAATGAATGATTCCGGAATCGTTTCTGTACCGTCATATCGATTCACAAATTTTTGTGGAACTGTTAGAACTGACTTGCGCAAAGCGATCGATATATGTTGATAGAGCCGATAGAGGTTAGTTTTAGTTAACTTAACCTACAAATTTACAGCGTTTTTATGTTTTTATAGGTAGATAATAACAAAATATACATTTTTATTTAGAAAATACTATTTATAAATCATATTTGGAAAATGAGTGATATAGAAGGAGACAGCGATTTTTTTGATGATGATGCTAGACGATGATTTAGAATTAGTGGTAAATTGAGAAATGATAATAAACAAAATTATTTGAACAGAATATATTCATTATTAACCAATATTTTCCTTTGTGCTCTAGAATATAGAATGATACAATAAAAAATCAATAACATCCATAATTATAAAACAGAAAACTAGTTTATTTTTATTTTCTTTTCGAAAAGTTTGGTTAGAATTTTCTTCCTCTTCTATATTATCTATTTAGGTCCGGTTTTTCAATCTCCGGCTATTTAGGATAGCTGGCAGCTACGGAGATAGCCGTCAGCCACTGCCTGTCAAAACGTTTATCGACCTCCAGTTATACGATAGCCGCCAGCTATTCTGACTGTAACCGTAACCGACACACACTTGCAAGTGGTAATTTCGTACAGGATACCTATTCTCTAACTCATGGGAGCACTCCCACACTCCCATGCTCCCATACTCCCATGCCAACGTTGCCAAGTCGACAGAATAACTTTGATCTACTATTTAAGGACCGATCCACCGTTGTGTTAAACGAAGTTTAAAATGACATTTTTACATTAACAATGTCATTTTAATCTCCGTTTAACTCAACGGTGGAATCAGCCCTTAGTAATTCAAATTTGCTTTGTGATAAATACGGACCTAATCTGGCAAGCCCGCAATTCTCCCTCCCATAGTATAAAATCTGACCTTACTACGCATGTACCTGGGCTAAAAGTGAGTAAGCATGATAGTTGTTGATGAACAATCCTCTCATTATATGAATTTAAAATGTGGAGTACCTCAGGGTTCTATTATGGGACCTCTTTTGTTTACGCTATATACCTCAAATCTTGTTAAAAGCCTCCAGTCTTGTAATGTACACTTTTATGCGGATGATACCCAAATATATTATAGTTTTTTCCCCTGACATGACAGTCGAAGCTTGCAATAAAATAAACAAAGATCTATATAATTTTATTAACAATGCTGAGGATCATTGTTTGAATATTAATTATTCAAAATCTAACATCTTACTTTTTGGTACTAAAAGCAAATTGAATGAAATTGATAATAATAATAGTGTACATATTGTTATAAAAAACGAAAATTTACAAAAAGTAAGTGAGGCTAAAAGCTTGGGAGTATTATTGGAATCAAACTTAAAATTTGAAAAACACATTAATCATCTTTTAAAAAATGCATACGCTACACTTAAAGCTTTATATGGACATAGGCAGTCTCTACCTACACATATTAAATCAATGCTATGTAAGTCGCTTATTCTTTCTACATTTAATTTCGGTGATACTCTTTACGGCCCCTTTTTATCTAGTCTGTATCAACAAAAAATTCAAAAAGTCCAAAACTCTTGTTTACGCTTTATATATGGAATTCGCAGAAGAGAACATATTTCACACAAACTAAATGAAAATAAATGGTTGAATATGGCTAGTAGAAGACTCTTACATGCGTCAGTTCTTTTTCATAAAATAATAATTTATAAAGCTCCCTCTTATTTGCATAAAAAATAACTTTTAGGACAGATGTGCATAATATTAATATTAGACATAAAGGTACACTTTCACCTCCACCTTTTAGACTTGAAATCTTTAGACGCTGTTATACCTATCAGATATGTTTACTGTACAATGATGTACCAGATCTTTTAAAAACTTACAGTGTGCCAAGGTTTAAGGTTGCCTATAAAATAAATTTACTTTTTTCGAAACAAGCATAG